AACAACACTTTGTGTGATCCACAAATTGTTGTTTCGGGTCTGGGTGTCATTGTGTATGTGAACTTGTATGTTTGTAAACGCACCCACGACACAGGTTAAATCCTAGTATGGGGAAACGTTTTTAAAGAAATAAAAAACAATCAGCCGAACATAGTAATTCCTCCTTTTTTTGAAGTCGATAAAAAGTCGGAGAAAATCCTAATGTGGGGCAACTTTTTTTTAAAAAACAAATTTAATAAATAAATATATACAACTTAAAATATAACTAACTAAAAGCTAAAATATTTATAATTATTATTACTTTTTTTAATGTGTAAATATTTTAGTTTTTAGTTAGTTATATTTTAAGTTGTATATATTTATTTATTTAATTAACTTGAATACAAATGCATTTAAGATAAAAAAAAATTAAATAAGCTTTTAAAAGTTATTGTTTTGTACTTGATCCAAGAGAAGAGAAAGGACTGAATTTGTTGTTTATTACGTTCTAAAATTTTCTCGACCCGGACGGAGGTTTAAGACCTCTGCTTCTCATGTATGAATGAATGGGTGCGGGTTCGAAACCTACCAACAGCAAGTACCAATGTGACTTTCACCGAGTTATATGTACTTTCTAAGATTATTTAGACACCACTGACAAACGGTGAAGGAAATCATCGTGAGGAAACCTGAGGTTATAATTTTGTAATTATAAGTTTGTAATCGCCAACCCGCATTGAGCAAGCGTGGTGATTAATGCTCAAACCTTCTCCGTGTGAGAAGAGGCCTTCGCTCATTAGTGGGCATTTATAGGCTGTTGATGATGATGATGAAAACTTTCTCTTCGTAAAAACCTTCATCGGATAACTCTCGTCAGTTGCAAGACATTGTTGATTGCCTCATTGGCCGAGTGGTCGCAAGTGCAACTGCCGGGCAAGGGGTCTCGGGTTCGATTCCCGGGTCGGGCAAAGTATTACTGGGTTTAAAAAAATCTCATTAGTAGCACGGAGTCTGTAAATGTGCTCGGTATATAGCAATAAGCTCACCCCTTATTACATGGGACTCATAACATAAATAGTGAAAAGTGGATGTTACATTGCACAGTGGCATTAAGTGCCGTAATGTGCACCTCTGCCTACCCCTTCGAGGATAAAAGACGTGATGTTATGTTACGTTAAACCTAATTTTTTGTTCCAAAATAATTGGCTAAGAACTGGGTTAATAATTAAATCTTTGAGTATGGCAGTAACATTGTTATATATAATTTAATGTTTATAGGATATCTTAAGAATCGGTAAGTAGTTTTAGCTTTACATCAATGACTCCAGAAAATAAATACATTGATATCTTTTTAATAAACTAATGGAAAATTGTTACAGACCGGCTGGCTGGGACAGCATGAAGAAAATTAGTATATTATACGAGAACATGCAGACTTGTAAGCCAGACGACTACTACAGAGACATCATCGTGCAGCCTGTTATACGGAAAGTGAGTTTTTTTTAATTATTTCAACTGGGTTTCCAGGGTATCAAAATTAAAAATCTAATTAGTCCGTCAGTTAGATAATGAAAAAATATTAGACACGTATTTTTTAATTTTCTCCTATTAAGTTACGATACTTAGATAAAATGGCGCTAAGTTTAGGAGTGGGAGGTTGTTACGTCATAACGTGCTACAAAATGTGACACGCTGTGACGTCACACGATATTTCAAATTAATATATCGTCGAAAGTATTTAATTTTGTGAGAAAAGAAAATATACGTGTCTAATGTATTAAATTAATGTACCAGACGGACATTAAAATAAAATTTAGGAAACTACCCTATTGTCAAATTATAATACAATAACTTGCCTATGTTTATATTAAAACTTTTGTGAGACATACTAAATTAATTATTATGTTTACGGATTACTCACGTAACTATTTGACGAGGAACTCGACTAGTTTCAAGCCATGCTAGAGGCTCATATTCATGAACAGCATACCGCGACCCGCGACGCTGCGATTGTCGCGCTGGTCAAGTTCCACGTCAAACAGTTGCGTGAGTAAGCCAAACTTAATAATAATAATAATTATTACTGTAATAATTATTATTATTTGTGTATTATAAGTCTTAGAAGATATTAAATTATACGTACTTACGTTTAGTACCTTATTCACGTAACTGATTTCGAACTCATGAATATAAGCCCTAGAGTGGCTTGAAATTGGTTGAGTTACCTCGTAAAACAGTCATGCAAGTCGTTAAACATATTTATTTCCGTGTAGAAGTAATTTTTAGTAACTATTAATAATGTAATTTTCCAGAGCGGGGCGAATCGCGAGGCCGAGGTCCAGGCGGAGGACGAGCAGGCGTTCCTGCAGCGCCAGCTGGCCGCGCTGCAGGCCGGCGCGCCCGCCCCGCGCGCTGACTCCCCGCTCCGCGCCACGCAGCGCTCCGCCGCGCAGGTCGCCACTTCTACGCTAGCATTATTGTTTTGGTCATCTTCAGCTAAAAACTGTTGAACAAAGACTTTTGCTGTAAAACGCCTAACCGCTAAACCGCCGGGGCACACGCACTGCGGTTGCAGTACGCAATCGCAAAATCGACCTTACGTTGTTCTTGTTTATGAATTAACATTGTTTTCACAGTTTTTTTTTTCGACACAATTTTTAACATTTCACGGTTAAACTAGCTCACTCGCTCAATAAAACCGCAAATACGGCCGATTATATTAGGTTTCTTGTACACAGTCAGCGTTGAAGATGAGACAAACAGATACTCCTTTATTTGAATTTTTAAGTATGTATCACCTGTTACTTATCTAACCTCTTTACCTCACAGTTGGACGGCGCAAAGATCGGCATGGGTCCAGGCACGCCGGGCAACGAGGGCGTGCTGGCGAACTTCTTCAACTCGCTGCTGTACAAGAAGACAGGGTCCCCGGCGGGGCGCGGCGACGCGTCGCCCGCGGCGGCCGCGGC